TCATACGGGATGCGGGATTTGCATCTCACATATGAAAGACCCCGAATACCCCCCTAACTAATTTTTAAAATATTGCGAAAAAAACTCCTCGGCCAGGAGTCGAACCTGGAATCTCCGTGCCATGGCAAATTTTTAATTAGTTAGGGGGGTATTCGGGGTCTTTCATATGTGAGATGCAAATCCCGCATCCCGTATGAATTTACAAATTGAATTTTCAATTCAAAAAACTTGTAAAAATTTACAAGTAATACTTGTTATAGATGTATACATATATGTATGCAGGTTCAAGTTCCTGCTCAACATCCTGGGAATGGCTCGTATCGGCCTTTATATTCTTGTATTTTTTTATAATTGTCACAATCGGTAGAATGTTTAGCTGGAGTGAGGTCAAAATCATTGAGCTAGATTAGGGAAGAGATAATAGAGAATTAATAATAAGTTTACAATTTGTAGCTATGGAAGACGTTTTCGAGTTCGTGTGATAAAAATAAATGAGTGTGTATTAATCGGCCAATAGGATCCAGATGTAGGGTCTTATGTGCAATAATGTAGACGATTTGTATATCGATGTCGAAACGTTTCGACTTATATTTAAGTCATCTTCAGTCGAAAACAAGAACTGAGTTCTATTCTACTTTCTGAACATGACAGATCATACCGTCTACTGCACATGTTCAAAGTAATTCTATATGGGAAGTGTTCTTTTTATTGTTTTTGACTGAAGATGGCTTAAATATAAGTCAAAACATTTAGACATCCATATACAAATCGTTTACATTAATGCACATAAGACCCTGCATCTTGTTCCTATTGGCCGATTACTACACACTCATTAATTAATAAGTTCTGTATGTAAGTTGTTCAAACCATGTGGCAAGGTGTTTAGCCGTAAACTTCAAGTGATTAATCCAGACGTTTTGACTTTATTTTTAAGTCATCATCGGTGGAAAAACATTGAATAAATGACAATTTTTCAAAGCAATGAGAGTGACGACGAGATGTATGTCAGTGTGTCGTAACAGTCAATTTTAAAAGATGATCAATAATCAGTATTGACAATACAATACTGATATATACTGTTACGACACACTGACATACATCTCGTTGTCACTCTCATTGTTTTGAAAAATTGTCATTTATTCAATGTTTTTCCACCGATGATGACTTAAAAATAAAGTCGAAACGTCTGGATTAATCACTTGAGTTTTACGGCGAAACACATTGCCACTTCGAACAGCCTACATACAAAACTTATTAATTTTTAACTACGAACCCGAGATCACATTTCATATCATTCTATTATTAATAAAGAATCTCGATTCTGGACGTGTTTACAAAGAAATCATTTCCTTCCCAAATACACTAACACTTGTTAGCTACAGGTTGTCGGTTGACTGCGTCTCCGCAAGAGATCGTAAAATAAAAAGGGTCTATTGTTCGAAAGATTCTTACTTTAACATAGGCGCTGTTGGTTTGACTATGAGTAGCAAATCGAGATAATCGATTAAAAGTAGATCACTATTATTGAAGTATTGATTGGATAAATGTTTACAATCGATATTACTGTACTCGGAATCATAACGTTACGTTGTGTATTGACAATTAAAATTGGTTCTAAGAATTGATAATCTTGACTGCCGCTCATGTCGAAATGTAAAATGTGCACGTGTTTGTAATAGTGAGACTTGCAATGTACTCGGTGATATATTTTGGTGATAGCAATGCTGATAATTGGCAACGTAGCATTTTGCTTGGATTCATGCTGCTCGCGGATGATCGGAAGTGGAGTCGGCGGCGCCCTCAGGAGATTTGACGAATAAGAAGTTTGCAAAATTTATTTGATATAAACGGACTGATCGATTGATTGTTAATCACTGACTCTACCAACGTCAAAACTGTTCTCTAACAAATCTTAACTGTCTACTAAAGATCGAACTGTGTTGAAAACTGCGTACCGATTAATGATCCGTGGATCGAGGATCCAGGACTTTTATAGATGCAGATTGATTTCCCTTTCTCCATCGTCCTTCCTCGAAATTTCGACCTCTTGTTTGTTGAGCTTCAGGAGCAAAGACTCTTTCCCCTTTCGTTCGATTCTTCGGATCGATAGGGTCATTGTTTGTTTAGATCTCGCTTATCGGTACGTACCTTATCTTGTTTATGTCTGCGACTTGCAGATCTAGCCTCTTGATTTTACGACTTCTTTTCTGGAGCCGCGAGAGCCGCAAGAGTCGCGATGATATGCTCAAATTTCCGAGCGCGTAGCTCGCATACAGAGAGTCTTTGTTTATCATATTCCCATCTGAGAGTCGATAGCCTTTGCTTATCGATACCGGTTAGATTTGTTTATAATATGTCATCCAGCTAGGTTTGTTTATAATATGTCATCCGGTTCGGAACTGTCTATCTTATCTCGGCTGGCTCTTGTTTCTCTTTCCAGAAATTCGTTACAAAAATTATTCCTTAAAACTACTGCTAGACGTAATAATTATATTACATTGCAAAATGAAGGGGACCGTAGAATCCAAGACGTAACAATATATTATATGTTCTCTTGTCACAAAATCTTAATATGGAAAACTTTAGGTTATTTTTTTAGAAATTAAGTCTAAAGAAATAAAACCAAAATTAGAATAATAGTGATTTACTTACATTGTTATTAATGATTTCAACCAAAAAAAGCGTATGCAAAATAATCAAAATCGATTTTATCGATCTTGATTGTTGCCTCTTCCGCGACGCTGATTGGACGTTTCGGTGACGTTTTTCAGATGTGTTACTCGATTCATGTCGTACTGTCGTACGTGAACTAGCTGTCATCGCGGTGACATGTTGTGTCTACTGACGGAATACGTTAAAATAAAAATAATAGCGTGAGCGCTATAACAGTACCGTCTGTGTTGTGCTAGTACTGTAGAAAAACTTATATTTAGAAGGTAAAAATATTAAATATTTACGTAGCTCTAGCTTCTCGCAAGCGTCTCACTAATAAAATTAGTCGATTGGATTTTTGATGATAAACGCGTCACACTAGTATGTTGTCATTTACTGCAGCTGGACTTGTACTGCAGCAGAGCTAACGATCGGCGACGTATCATAAGATAATGACTGCTATTATCTATTGCTAATTACAAGGAATCTTTTTTGTATATATTTTTATATTTTCTATAAAACGATTAAGATATTTCACAAAATTGCTTCTTATTTGTCCGTGACATTCATTATATATTTTCCTATTCCTTTCAGATAGGAATCGAGTCTTTCATTAAGTCTTTCTTCAAATTCAAGTCTTTCATTAGAATTCTTTTACAATATAGTTGATAATAGATTATCTTAAACACAAATTAAAATTCTAAGGCACTATAAAATAGGTGAATATCATATACGTTAATAATAGAAAATCTGAATATGCGTGACAAATACTGTAATGTTTAAAGTTTATGTGTATAAGCAATTCGTAACATTACATTCGTAACAAAAACTCTTTACATCTTTTTCTAAACATTGTAATATAATTTTTAAGTCTCTTATAATTAGATAAATCTTTTATTTCAAGTTTTGTTCAACTTTTATTCGTCGCGGTTCACAGAACTATTCTTATATTTAAAAAAAGCGAAAAAGAATGGACTTTCAAAATGTAAATTTGATAAGTGTTCGGCTGAACATGATCTCAGGCAATTTGTTACCTATAGCTGAAGACGATACGCCCTTTCCTGTATTCTGGAAAATATATAGCGTTCTAGTGTGGTTGCTTGAAATAGTACAAGTTTGTGCTTTAATTCCTGGATGTCTGTTTGTACCAAAAGAGAAGGCTTTAAAAGATGGTGTGATTGGACTTGTCATGATTATGGAAGTTGTTTTTATGGTTGCGCGAATTCATGCACGAAAAGATCTCGTTTTGCAATTAATTCAAAAAATGAACAATATCATGCGCACTGGAGACGAGATGATGAGAGACATTATAATAACAACCCTGAAACCGATGGATATTCCGATCAAATGCTACTGGTTGGCTGGTGTAGTGTCGATAATCATGTGGAATAGCGCACCATTTGCGTTGATTTTTCAGAAGAATGTATTTTTTTATGTAGATTACAGACAGCCAGTTACTTTTGCTAAAGAGCCGCTCTCGATTAGTATCTTCATAATAGGAAGTATTATCGTAACGACCAGCGGCGTGTATCTTTTTACAAAAAAAACCAGCGTTGATTGTTACATGATACATCTGATGTTGCTGATAACAGCACAGTACAAATACACTGCGAGAAAGCTTGCACAGACATTTCAAAACAAACTTTCACAAAATAATTATGTTAATACTGGACAAACATATGGTTGTAAAATAAATTATTATGCGGAAGAAATAAAAAGTGTATGTCGGCACCACAACACGACTGTACAGTAAGATTATTAGCTTAAACAAGTTTCTTAATATACTCAGAGATTATTTTTATTTTATATTTATTATTTTGTTTTATATCAAAAGACACTTTTGCATCTTTTTTTGGCTGAAAAAGACATAATGTGGTGATCGAGATTATCAATAGATAATTTTAATAATATTTTATCTTTAATTTTAACACATTATAATTATATGCAGTTTTCAAAAAATTCGGAACCGCTAAAACAATTTCGGAAACAATCAAAAAATATGTAAGAAGCAAAATTAAAAGACTTAAAAAATGTACTTACTGGTGATTTGCATTAGTATTACTCAAAATGCATTGCGTGGAGGTTGCAGGTTTGGATTTACACTTCTTCTGTGTAGTGTGCGTGTGCGCGCGCGCGTGCGTGCGTGTGTCAATAAAGATAAGAATCTCACGGTTCGTCACTTTTGTAGTATTTTTCGACTCCAAACCCAGTTGTGAGTCCACGTGATATCACACCTCGCGAGCATACACGCGCAACGGTAACAAGAAGACCTTTAAACATTTGATTAATTAAAAAAATAGAAACCACTATCTTAAAAAATATGTCACACACGCATGAGTGGTCTTCACTTAGACACCGTTCAATTAGACACGTAGTAATTGGACACAGTGCAAATAAACACAACCTTTTAGACACCGTGCAATTGCGTTCACTTAGACACCGTTCACATGCGCACCGTTCGTTTAGACACCGTCCATTTGCGCACCGTTCATTTGGACACCGTTCAAGTGTGCACCGTTTATTTGGACACCGTTCATTTAAATACCGTTCGTTTGGACACAGGAAGTTGCACACTGTTCAACTTAGACACAGAAAATGTCACACTCTTCAATAAGACACCAAAAGTGTCACATTGTTCAATTGAACACTCAAAGTGTCAAACTGTTCAATTAGGCACCAAAAATGTCACACTGTTCAATTAAACACTAAAAGTTGCACACCGTTCACTTACGCACTGTTCACTTGCGCACCGTACAATTGGACACCGTGCATTTGAAAACCGTTCATTTGGACACAACAAGACTTCTTACTTAAACGCTTAAAAAATATTTATAATTTGTGAGAGTATGTAACAGATAAAAAACACTTAAAAAAAGTAAATTTATATAAAAGCTACTCTTGCAAAAAAGTTACTTTTTTAAAAACATAAAACAGTAGTACATTTAAAAAGTAAAAATTTTGTTGCAGTACACATTATCATACATGTGGGCGAGGGAAAGACGGAGCCCTTTTTTCTGTATCTTTTCCCCGAAAAACTCTAACCTAACCTGTGGTACTACTATCATTAATTGTCACTGTTTACTTTTATTTATTTTTCTCCATTTGTTACATACTCCCACACATTATGAATATCTTTTAAACGTTTAAATAAGAAGTTTCTTTGTGTCCAAATGAACGGTGCGCAAAAGAACGGCGTCTAACAAAGGGAGACTACGACGTTGTACCAATCGATTCGGACAAAATTTATAGGATCGATAGATGGCTATGTGGAGTATTGCAGGGTAAAGTAATAAGATGCACTACTCAAGCATTCGCGAGAAAATCGAATTTGAAAATTTTAAGGTACCTTATAAGAATATGAAATAGGCCGTTTAATCAAAGAGCGCGTAGCGTACTAGGTTAGTAGTGTCGACGCTGCTGGTTCGAGTCTCGATATATATATTTTTTTTTTTTAAATTCTATATTATAATCTAAATGTAAATAATACGTTTTTCATTTATTTATTGCATGTTATAAAAGTGTATTTTTTTGCATAAAAAATCCGTGATTTAAAAAATACAGTAAAAATAAATCGATTATTACTAATTGTGTTTTTAAAAAGCGAATAAATACTTGTACGCAACATGTAAAATTATATGCAACATATCTTATTTATTTGAACTAGATGGGACAGTATATAATGCAGGATGATATTTGTCATAAAAACAAGTGAAACAATAATTTTCACGACAGTGTGCACATCGTATGAAAGCTTTATATTGATATGGTTTCTTTAAAATATCTATTGAAAACCATACTTTGTTGACATTCATAAATATCTCTCTCTCGTTTGTTAATTTGGAAACAAACCATGCATATTGTAACATATTTCAAAAACTCGGGGCGGATAATTAATGATGTATAATTAAATGAATTTTTCTGCAATCTTCACAAGATGTTATTTCGCGGTTTTGTTCTATTAAAGTCGAACAATTCTGCAAACGCTTTATAAAATTTTTGATTTGTCTATAAAAATAAACGTCACAAGTTTTCTACTATATATACTTCTACTATATATACTATATATACAAATGTCGTGGTAACATCCTTGAAGTTCGGAAAACTCACAATAAATTTGTATATACAATATTTAAAAGAAATATTATTATATGTAAAAAAGGAAAAATTTCTTTAGTAGAAAACTTTAGTAAAAAACCATGCATATAGTAGAAGTGTATATAGTAGAAAACTTGTGACGTTTATTTTTATAGACAAATCAAAAATTTTATAAAACGTTTGCAGAATTTTTTGACTTTAATAGAACAAAACCGCGAAATAACATCTNGTGAAGATTGCAGAAAAATTCATTTAATCATACTGTTGTGAAATTTAGTATTAATTTCGTTCGGGCCAATGAGCAATTGCGGAAAATACGCATCATTGCTCAATCGACCCGAATTTATTTGAAAAGGCGACAAGCAGCACTTCCGTGTAAGTAGAATCTGCTTGCGTAGAGTTAAGACGCGGCACGCGGCGTCAGCAGTAGCAACTAGATTGCTAAATTGCTGAGTGGTCGCGATCGATCCCTTTAAAAGATCGATCGCGAGCGACGACAGACAGATCGTGAGTAGCTGTTGACAATACTGTGTGGCTCCGAGTCCATCCGGAGAGTTTACCGCAGTAAAGCAACAAGCTAAGTGTCAGAATAAGCGTGCAATATTGTACAATAATTTGTAAACTTGGTAAAGTCTTGTAAACTCTTCTTCTTCACCGAAGTCCTTCATCTTCCCGATCACAACAATACATCATTAATTATCCGCCCCGAGTTTTCGAAATATGTTACAATATGCATGGTTTGTTTCCAAATTAACAAACGAGAGAGAGATATTTATGAATGTCAACAAAGTATGGTTTTCAATAGATATTTTAAAGAAACCATATCAATATAAAGCTTTCATACGATGTGCACACTGTCGTGAAAATTATTGTTTCACTTGTTTTTATGACAAATATCATCCTGCATTATATACTGTCCCATCTAGTTCAAATAAATAAGATATGTTGCATATAATTTTACATGTTGCGTACAAGTATTTATTCGCTTTTTAAAAACACAATTAGTAATAATCGATTTATTTTTACTGTATTTTTTAAATCACGGATTTTTTATGCAAAAAAATACACTTTTATAACATGCAATAAATAAATGAAAAACGTATTATTTACATTTAGATTATAATATAGAATTTAAAAAAAAAA